TTATAAAATTTGTCCTCTTATGACATATTAATATATTAGAAAATATCAAAACATTGAAATATAACTTTTATCTTTTACATTGGTATACAACTAAATATTATATTTAATAAAAATATTGTGTGTTTTTAGGGATTGTAGTCATCGTATTTGTCTTCCCATATTCCTCTTTTATTTAATATCTTTCATCTTTTTCTCTGACTTCTTCTTTCCCTTTTTCTGGATTATCCATTTTTTCTTTCAATAATCTCATCTTCTATTTTTATCTCAGTTTTTTTGGTTGTTGTCTATGTCTTCTTTTTCTTTTTAGCTTTCTAATTTTCCTCCTCCTTGTCTTGTCATTATTCTTATTCTTTTTGATCATTATATTTTGTTCTTATTTATGTATATCTTCTTCTTACTCTTTTTCTTCGTCTCATCATTATTCATCATCTTCTTCATTATCTTTTAGTTTTCCCAAAACGTAAGTTGTTGTGTTTGTGTATATGTTGTTGATTTAGAGATAGCAGGTGTGTTTAATTAGGGTAAACCAATTTAAACCAAACCAATAAAAACCGTTTCAGATTGAACTTGGTTTAAAATTTATATTTTTAAACCAAACAATTTTTTTATTAAATCTGTAGCAAATATAATACTAATTACAAACCAAAATAATTTCCAAAAAATATATATAAATATATGTATATTGTTTAAGAAAACCTTCCAGCTAAACTAATCACCTTTCGAGAATATGATACAACTTAAGGTTCAAAAAATTATATATATATATATATATTTAAAACTTCAATGGATTCAGTGCTGGGTTCGTATAGATTACTATGAACAGAAGCGAACTCAGAAAACTTCCCGCCAATGGATTTTCACTCTCAATTATTAACATATTTTGGAGTATATCTATCTCAACCTCTGCAATATTGGACTAATTGGTCTTTCTGTCATATATATCTATATACTAAATTAATATGTATGTCTATTATGTTCTTTCTAATTGATACTGGTATTAAAAAAAAAACTCTTGCTTTCAGTCTCTCTTATGTTCATCACAAAGCGATTTTGTATTAGTCTTATATCATCGGGTTCTAACAAATCAGGATCAAGCATAAAGCTTGAAAATACACAAACATAATCTGCAATATGATATTCATCTACTCAAACATTTTTTATAAACATTTTATTGCCTATTCTCTAAGAAACTAAACATAATAGACATGAAAAAAAATTAATCTCTCTTCACTTTTTATCTCTCTTGCTTGTTATTAATACGCAACACATACAAAATCTTCAAATAAAAATCATCTCTCTCTCTCTCTCTCTCTCTCTCTCTCTCTCTCTCTCTCTCTCTCTCTCTCTCTCTCTCTCTCTCTCTCTCTCTCTCTCTCTCTCTCTCTCTTTCTCTCTCTCTTTCTCACTCATATTCTTCAAATAAATATCATAGTTTTAACCCATCTACTTAATCATTAAAGAATACTCCAAAAGAAAAAGAACCTGACATATTATTTATTATTCAAGATCAAACGACTGAAACAATGCTTTGTGCATTGAGCATTATTATTTCTACTCTCCTTCTTTCTCTCCTTTCAGTTTTTCGCTACTTATCTCTCTCTCTCTCTCTCTCTCTCTCTCTCTCTCTCTCTCTCTCTCTCTCTCTCTCTCTCTCTCTCTCTCTCTCTCTCTCTCTCTTTCTCTCTCTCACTCATATTCTTCAAATAAATATCATAGTTTCAACCCATCCACTTAATCATTAAAGAAGACTCCAAAAGAAAAAGAACCTGACATATTATTTATTATTTAAAATCAAACGACTGAAACAATGCTTTGTGCATTGAGCATTATTATTTCCACTCTCCTTCTTTCTCTCCTTTCAGTTTTTCGCTACTTATTTCTCTCTCCCTCCTGTCTCTATCTCTCTCTCTCTATATATATATATATATCTCTATATCTCTATATATCTCTCTCTCTCTCTCTGATATTCTTCAAATAAAAATCTTGGTTTCAACCCACCAACTCAATCATTCAAGAAGACTCCAAAAGAAAAAGAATCTAACATATTATTTAAGATCAATCGACTGAAACAGTGCTTTGAGCATCGAGCTTTATTATTTCCTCTCTCCCTCTTTTTCTCCTTTTAGTTCTCCCCTACCTATTAATGTCTCCCTCCTCTCTCTCTCTCTCTCTCTCTATCTCTATCTCTCTCTCCATCTCTCTCTCTCCATTTCCCTCTCTTTCTCTATGCCATCCATCAAGCTCTCTCTCTTTCTCTATGCCATCCATCTAGCTCTCTCTCTTTCTCTCTCTTTTTCTCTCTCTCCTTCTGCTTCTTGTTTTTGTTTTCAATGTTGATCTTCACTCTTTATCTCCCTTGCTTGTGCTTAATATACAACACACATAACCTAGAAGGGTGAGCCTAGAAAACATAATATATTTTAGAACTAAAACAAAAAGAACATAACATATTGGCTCCGATTGGTGACAATGTGATCCTTTTTGTCTTATTAGTCCACACAGAAGTATCCTTGTTCTTTATTCTTTCTAAAATGTTTTGATTCCTTTTTCAAAAAGGCAATACATCTCACTAAATTAGGTTTAAGAACTATAGCCGTAACAAAATAAATTAAACAATAAATAGAGACATAACAAACAACCTAAGAAACCTCGCTTGTGGATAGTGTCTGTTACAATCCATCCAAGCTTGAAACTGCGTTTTCTGAACACGAACTTCACTACCATCTACTTGATCAAACTCCGAGAAAATCGTGCTCTGGTTACTCGGTAGGTGCAAAGGTAAGATAGTCATGTCAATAGTCTCCATGGACATGTACAATCAGTATAGAGAAATCAAAGAAGCATCTCACACAAAACCATCTAAACCATACCATTAAAAATCAAAAACATGGTATATCTCATACAATACATGGGCATTTTTACTTGCTCGCTTTGATTATTTCATAAACATTAGATACAACAATAGTTGGAAATTTATATAGGTTTATACCGCGACCTAGCATATTAAGGCTTTCATCGTATATGTATTACTATAACTTTATAGATATTAATACTCCAAAATTATTTAAGCGTAATAATTCTAAGCTATCCAAAACTATTAAAGAGTAATAATATATTAAACTAGCTATATTATACGATATAGAATTGGAATCCGACAATTTAAAATTTAAAATTTTGCCACCGAAAGAAAAAATAATATTTTTATAAAAGATATAAATCAATAATAACAAAATCCTCAAGATATGATATTTTTATCATTATTGAGCCACCATGCATGTAGTTCAATATCGTCCAACCATCATTAGACTAATTTAATGTGCACATTTACTCTTAAATATCTTCATATATCTTCACAGTTCTGTTACTGTATGGTTTAATCAACTTACCTTTTTGTAACATCTACTCGAATATATAGATTTCCACTTGTTTCATTGCTTGGTAATGTACATAAATTTAAGATATTCTCAGCTCTAAAAGAAAATGTAACGTTGCCAACCACCAAGTTAGGGATCTCGTAAAACATCATTGCTTGTAGGAGAAGATAGAGGAGCTAACAGAGAAAAGATATAATCAGCATTCCTTTAGGCTTTAGCAATAGCTCAGCTATCGCAAGCTTTGGTCTAACCAACTAATAAAGTTATACGTTTGCAAATGTTATTTGTTACAAATTATATCAATTATAAGCAACAAAATGCCAAAACACAATTAACAGAATAAAAACAGCAAACAAAATAAAAATATCACGATGCAACTTTAAGGATAATAAACTTTCATAGATTACAAAATCAAGTAATAATTTCACAGTATTAAGATGTAAAAAAGCCTTTGGGCCTATAACAAACCTCATAATAATATAAATTTTTAATAGATCTTAATGATCTTAAATTATGAAATGTTTAGTGGGTTACAGCATAATTTAGGATTTACACGAAATAATTTAGGGTTTACAAGAAATAATTTTGTGGGCTACAGCCCAAAATCAAAATCAAAATCAATAACACCAAACAAAGAATTAGATTAAAGTTTTCATTAGGATATAAGTGGAAAAAAAACGACTAAAGTATACTGAGAACAAACATGGGAGCAACACAAAAGTTAAAATAGATAAGGGTGCGACAGAAAATTGATGTGTGTCATTAATTAATAGAAGATGGGTTGGTAGATATATCGTGTCAACAATAAGATTGTAAGAGTTGAGTATAAATATTATAGAGTGATAAATTAATAGAGAATGATTCATTTGTATTAGTTGGATCATATAATTGAAGCGGCCAAGAAAAGGGTCGCCAACATTGATATAGAGTGGTGTATATGTATGTTGTGTCATAGAAATCAAAAACACTAACAAAAGCTAGTATATATAGTTACGAATGTTAGGACAGAATAACAGGTTTCATTTAACACGTCTTGCATGCAATGAGTTATATAGTAAAACTTTTATAAATTAATAATTTTAGGACTGTGATATATTATACAATTTTATTAATTTATAAATATATTATTTAGGATTGAAAAAATATTTCTTTATCAAAATGTTAATTTATAAAAAAAATTACTGTATATGTATTTCATAGATTTAGAAAATTTTATTTTGTTATTCCATGTTAAATGAAATACATGTAACTAAAAGAATCAAGTTGGATTTTATTAAAAGGAGATAACTTTGTGAGAACAATACATGTCTTATGATTAGCTTTGGATTTTGAAATATATATATCTAAAACCAGTTCAGTCTGGGTTGCATTCTGATTTGTCTGAAATTTTCTTTCTTGAAGAAAAACTAGAGAAATTATAGTATTTTTTGCGATTATTGAAGGGCAGAATATTAGATTTTTTCATATTGTCAAAGAGTTGAACAATAGTTTTTTCGTGTTGTCATAGCGTTTAATCATTAAAGATTCAGAATTAAAAGATTGTAATATCACTACTATCTCTTTTTTAACAAGATATATTTGATCTTGTAAATTCTTTAAAAATGAAGACCGTATTTCAAATTTATGTTCTCGTAATTTATTTTAAAATAACCACTAGTAAAAAAAATTTTAATAGATACAGATTAACCACACAAAAATTTACAGAAAAGCCTTGAAAAAACTACGAAAAGATCTATATAACCAAGAATAAAATGAGTTATAGTCCTATATATTAGTTCTTTTCAAAATCTGAAAAACACAGATATATACAAATACACGATACAAGCGCAAGAAATGAAACTATCTATAAACATCGTTTCTGGTTTGAGAAGTTAAGATAAATCTACTAATAAAACGTTTACTTCATCAGGGTAAGTGTAGTAAGTGTATCCTTGAGGTCTGAAAAGTCTATAAAAGCGAGATCATTGACCTGCAACATTAAAGCAAATCAACTTCACAACTTAAGATAATATGATTTCCATTTTCATTCGTATAAAACTTAAGACACCAAGGCCTTTTGGTTTGTAAGCTGACACGATCTAAACTATATTAATAAAATTTGAGTCACATATATATAAAAGTAGTTTAATTCAGTTGATTTAAGGTCGTCAAATGTTGTCACTTATAATTTAAATTTCGCATTTTAACAAAGTGAGTAGTATGTCCTTTTGTGAATTGGATTAATCATACAAATAGCCACCTTACCTTTTCTCCGGTATTACACAAGCGATTTAATTAACCGACGATCATCCTTTTCACTATATAAATTATCAGCTGCTATATGAACTCATGCGTAACCAATCACACAATAAATAATAGAAACGATGAGTTGTAAAAACGAAAAAAATAGAAACGATGAGTTGACCAATTCATAAAAGACTTCAAAACTAATTGGCAAATAATAGATGAATTCAAGTCTCATGTATATTTTTCTTGATAAAAGTCTTGTGTTATATTACTCATCTAACTTACAGCTCATGATACTAAGTCAATGATTATTGAGCTAATTACTTTAATCATCCACATACAAACGGCTCAATATGAAATCCAGAACAGAAAAACAAAAAAAAAAAGAAAGACAAAGGTCCAATCCCCTCAGCTTCTTAAAAGCCATGAGCTTCTCGTGGACCTCGGTAGCCATCATTATACAATGAGCTACATATACAATAAACGACGAATTCATGACAAGTACTACTTTGAAATCAAGAAACACATTTATGTACCTGGGATACAGCACCTAAAACGACTTGGGCCGCGGGCATAGAGAGTAGGGTCATTGTAACTTGCTTTAGTTACGATAGTAACACCTATTTTCCATCCTCCCACTTCACTTCCATCAAGTTGCAGCGCCTTGTCTTCTCCGTCTTTATGGACAAAATATACATGAGCCATGCTGCCAAAAATTCAAGATTTTTTAGTTAGTCAAGCTGGGGGAAAATTCACAAACACAAATTAGAGAAAGACACAAACCTGTCGAGAGTGTTGATAAAAACATGTGTGATCTCTCCGCAAGATGAGAAATGTTCGATCAAAGTGCTCTTGAGCTCATCCGCAGGAACCGAAGTGTCATATCCCTCAACGGTAATGCCAAACCTACTGCAGTATTCAAATTTGCATGTTATCAACAACACATCTTACAGACACACACAAAAAAAAACAGAAGAAGAAAGCATATCAACTTACAATCTTCTGTCCTCGTGTGTCTCTCTAGTAAGAGTGGCTCGATAACGTCTCATCTCCTCGTCTTCTTCGGGTGTAACCTTAACACGAGCCCTCCATCCTCCCACGTCACTTCCATCAAGTTGCAACGCCTTCTCTTCTGCGCTATCTCCGCGAAGAATAACAAAAGCACGTCTGTAACAAAGACCAATTGTTTTTAGCTAAGTTGATCTGGTAATGAAAAATATTCTGAATTTTTATTGTCACAAATATATAGTAAGCAATGAACCCGACACGGCCTTGAGAGAATATAACATTAAAGACTTCTCCGCACAAAGCGAAGTGATCAGTCAACGCCTTCTTAATATCTTCCTGAGGAACCGAAGTGTCGTATCCCTCAACGGAGATCCTAACCCTAATTTTGCAGGAGATCAAACATTACCAACAACAATTGACAACACATACAAAATCTCCGGGGAAAAAATAAGAAGCATCCATTAATTTACCGGGGCATTCTGCTACTCTTCAAGTAGGCTTCCATAGCAGCATCACTGCCGAACAAATCAATTTTCTTCCTCTAAAGTGCAACAGATCTAATCAGATATTTTTCTTACATAGGTACTATTTGTGAAAAAAAACCACTTAATAGAGAAAAAGAGATTAAAAAACCCAGTGATAAGAAAGCCATAAGTAGAAGAAGATTACTTTGGTGGCGGATCTCTTTTTCGCGGCGGATCTCTCGCTAGAGCTCTTGTCCATGAAGAAATTGAGAAAAGGCAGTAACCCTAGGCTGCCGCTTTACGATGGTTTTTCTGTCTTAGGAAGAAGAAGGTATTTTTGTTGCGTTAAGAAAGAGGAGACACGAAATTTAAAATGAGTCAACAGCTAGAAGGGAAAATCTCCGATGAGTTGGAATTTAGACACATCAATAAAGATGTGTTGTGTTCATCCTTGTCTGGATCAAAAGGAGAAGAAAAGGGTTTCGATTCTTACCAGTAATCGTGAATATCATGTCATCTGAAGCTCAATATGAAGGAGATACATAATAACAAAAAAAAACAACCTTTTGTTTGATTTTTAAGGCTAGCTTTAGTTGATTATCTTTTCTGCATATATTATCAAACAAAAATCCATAAAATCAGCTTCATACATCAAATATAACAAAAACAAACAAACTATAATACACCAAATATAATAAAAACAAACAAACTATAATATGCATGAACTAAACTAATCCTACAGGAAAATCTATATGAACAAAACTAAACCTATCGCTGGAAGAAAAATAAAAAATGGTTAGAGGATTACACTATTTATAGGAAAATATATTTAGGATTTACACAGAATAATTTAGGGTTTACAAGGAATAATTTTGTGGGCTACGGCTCAAAATCAGAATTAAAATCAATAACACTAAACCGAAAATTAGATCATGGTTTTCATTAAGGGTATAATTAGAAAAATCGATGGCTAAAGTATGGTAATAACGAACGTGGGAGTGACACGTAGGAAATCTACTTCTCAAATAATAGTATAGATAGTAACCTAGTTAAATATAATTTAATTAATCATTAAAAAGCTGCAAAATATAATTAGTTATATAATATTAAAAAATTTTAAAATGCAATGAAATTTAAAAACAACATATAATTATTTTTAAAAAGCACTACTAAAGCAACTTAAGAAGTATTTATCTTGTTTGCTCGAAAATTACAAAATTATCATAACAGTTTTTTTTTTGTAATTGTATAGCTAAGTATAAATTAAAAAAAAATTCTTCACACATTTGTGTATTTTCGTTGATTAATGTGTAAAACTTTTAAAAAAATTATTCACTGATTTTATAATCAAACATATGAATTCTAACAAATTTTTAAAAATCCATTGATATAAAAAATTAATCCTTATATTTAAATTTTTGTTTTTTACTTGAAAGTAGTTACAAGTTTTGATTTTTTTTTTAGGGGTGGGCTTATTAAACCAAACCCGAAAATCCGAACCGAACCGACCCAAAAAAATCCGAACCGAACCGACCTGATATTGTTGTAATAACCGATTGGATCTTATGATGATTGTGGTTCGGGTCCGGGTTCGGTTCGGTTATACCCGAAATCCGATTTCCAATCCGAAAAAAATCGAACAGAAAAACACGATATGTAGCTTTCTTAGACTTTCCTGTTCAATCTCTATTCGAGATTCTCAGATCAATCAAATATCCTAATTTCTAAATCTCTAAATTCAATCTGGAATCTCTAAATCACCAATCTTCACTTTCTCTTCTTTCTGATACATCCCGAAATTGATTTCAGGTACACCATCGTCTTCTTCGTCTTCCTTTTATGTGATTTACCGTTTAAATTTGGCAATTTGAGTTTTCAGTTTGATAATTTTTACGGTTTTCGCATTTGTTATGGTTTCTGCAATTATTACAAGCTTTGGATTGTGATTTTCAAAACTCTGTTTGTGTTTGAGTTTGACAATTTGAGTTTTTTAGTCGAGTTTACAGTGTTGTTCGATAAACAATAATGGAGATTGTTACAGTTTCTGCTTGAATGGTTGAATCATATTTTGATACTGATTTTAGTGTTTATTTTGACCATTTGTTTTCTTAGATTTCGGATATTATTTGTGCATTTCGGATATTTTTAGCACGTTTGGTTACAATTTGGTTACAATTAGGATACATATAACCAAAACACTCGAAAACCGAACCAACCCGTTTGTAACCAAAATTTTTTCAGATCAATATCGATTTTTATATACAATGTAAGAACCGATCCGAACCCGAATTATAATTACCTGAACCCGATCCAAAAATTAAAAATACCCGATTAGAATCTTCAGCTCTATACCCAAAAATCCGATACCCGAAAGAACCTATCCGATCAGGTCCGGGTTATCGGAACGCCCACCCCTATTTTTTTTTATCAAATGTGAAATGCATCGAATTATATTCAGTTTCCATTAAATTAATAATTCAATAATTATTTGTTTGGATATCCAGAAGACCAGTAGCCAATAAACCTCGTTCGATATAGGCGAGAATATTAATATTAAGATGAAAGATAAAGTGACCAAAAATGAAAAATTAACTATGCTGCTTGCACGCCAAATATTCGATAGAATGCGCAAGAGAAAAACAAAGAACTTCTATTCCGTTGCCACTGTGCAAACATTCAGCATAAACAAGAACCCATAACATTCATCGCATATACAATGAAAACAGTTTAATCAGAAAAAATCCATCAAAGTAACGAATTTCAAGATTCATCGCTACTTGAACCATCTTCCTTACCATCTCCGAAAAACCCACCTCCCAATTCACAAACTCTTTCCCAAACATCCTCTTCAACAGGAACAACAGACAACCTCGGCTGTCTTAACAAAACAAAACCCTTAATCCCTTTGTGTTCTTTCATCTCTTTCAAATCAACACATCTTCTCATCTCTCCAACGGTTTTAACATCGACCGCTCCTTCTCCTCCATCATCATCATCGGAGTACCATTCACGCGTCACCTCAACCACACCCACGATGCATCTCGATTTTGAACCGGAGTGGTAGAAGAAACAGAGGTCGCCTAAAGTCATGGACTTGAGATTCTTCTGGGCTTGTTTGTTCTTGACGCCGTCCCATTTGCTGATTCCGTTGTTCGCTTCTTGGTCTGACCATGACCACTCGCTTGGCTCTGTTTTCAGTAACCAGTATCGCTTCATTTTGCTCCTTTCTTTTCTTGTTTACAGCTTTTTTCTTTTCTAGATTTCTAATAATTCTATCTTTTATGCTACTTAGCGACTTTGAGAACACAATTAAAACACTAGCGAGGGCGGGGCAAAAGAAGTGGGGCGACCGGGAAAAAAAGAAAATGGCGATTCACATTTGTTTTGCAGCATATTCGTCTTATGTTATATAAAAAAATAGAATGAACATTATTGAATATAGTTTTATCAATAAGTTTGACTTGAGTCAAATCCAATTTAAAAACATCTCAAATGTATTATTCAACCTTTTATCTTAAAATAAAATAATTATAAAAAATTAATTTTTTTTCAATATTATTTTATTTTCTTCTTTTAATTTTTTTTAAAAAAAGATTAAAATTTGTGTATATCCAGATTCATAATAAATTATTTTAAAATTTCGTATAACAATTTTGAAAAATAAAATAAAAAATAAAGACAAATAACTCATTAAAAATATATTTTGTTCTAAATCATGAGAATCTATATCTTTATATTAATTATATTTATTTTTAATAATTTTATTACTTATATAATTTTTCACTCTATAACATTATAGTTATCATATTTTTGTTAAAATTATATTTATTTTTTTTACTCTATTTTACTTTTTAATTAAAAATATTTATTACACGTCATAAAATATGTTTGCTTGACTTACATATAATTCAATAATTATAATTAATGTATATATAACGCATTTAATTTAAAATTGTAAATTATAAGTATTTTTTAAAAAATTGTAAATTGGTCTAATAATTTAATTTGTTTTAAGATGTTTGTAAATTACGATATTTTTAAATTAACAATTATAATTATTTGGGAGCATTTTGCAGAATGCCACGTGGAGATGTATCATTCGTCCGAATAATGGAGATGTGTTTTCAAATTTCGTTTTCTGGAGGGAAAAGCGACAAGTTATTCCAGGTAGGAACCTGTTTAAGCATCGATAGGAACCTGATCAAGTCCTGCGAACACTACACAAAGGGTTAGTCGGGTCTTTAGGAGGACCGAATGGAGATTTCCCTCCCAAAGATTCTATGACGCCCAAGTCAATGAACGCCTTACTAGGAACAAATACTCAGGAGGGTGATTCTACGGGATTAAGGTTAGATGTCTTGTCCGAGGATCGAGACGCCTTTCTGTTTAGAGGGTGTTTCAGAACGGTTCTATAACGAAAGGAATCATAGCGAGTATAAAGGCATGGTTCCAGGTTAAAGAGGGACTTATCCTGTTTGGCATTGTCTCGGGGAATAGGGGTGTTCCCTTTCGACTACGCTGCATGGTGGTGCCTGGCTTCTCCGGGACAGGGTCGAATCCTTCCTCTTTGGATCATACTCTAAGGAGGCCTCTCCTTTGATCTCTACATCTTTCTCTCTAGATTGAGCTTTCTCTCTCTCTCTCTCTCTCTCTCTCTCTCTCTCTTTCTTTGGCTTCCTTCTCCGGTCCGACTTCCTCTTTCTTCTAATGATACCTCTCCTTTTATACTTCTTACCCGTTCTGTCCTGTCCGTTCGGTGTGCCAGAGGAGCAAGTGAGTTGGTGGCGCATGCGTGATTCGGGAAGCTCGCCAACTGCCAGGGAATAGTACGCTAGGGAGTTGTTGATCAAGCTAGCAGATCGTATCATTGTTTAGGGTGGTTCGGTGTCCACGTGTTGTGCTATCATTTGTTCGTGGTTAAACCGGGCCCAACAATTGCCCCCGACTTCTTGACTGATTGGGAAATGAGTTGGGGATTCGACTTCTTCAACCCTTATGCACAATGAATATGAGTTATCCGGTTTCCTAAGTTTTTACCACGAAAGGCTGTATTAATGCAACGACCTTGCCACGCGTCCCGGGGGATATGATATTGGTATGGGCGAAGCTAAGTTCTTGAAGGGAAAAGGTTACGCTTAAACAGGGACTCGCCCGAACTGTGCCATGCATCTTAGGAACGCGGTACTGGTTAGAGAGTTATACTTCTGAAGAAGTAAAAAAGATGTCATCTTAGACTCTGCCACGTATCTTGAGGGAATACGGTTCCAGCAGGAGGAATTAAACTTCTGGAGAAACGAATAAAAGAGGTATCAACTCCGACCTTATTCATATGTCTCGGGGCAGCACGTTATTGGTCGAAAGAACTACACTTCCTGAAGGACGGTTAAACTGGATGTCAACTCTGACCTTATTCGCATCCATGGGAGTACATTATTGATTGAAGGAATTACACTTCCGAAGAAGCAAACCATGAGATGGTCATACTAGATATATGATAAAAGGACTAACTCCGGCCTCGCCACGCATACAGGGGAGTACGCTGTTAGCCGAATGAGTTAGGCTTCCGGAGAAGCTAGGTGATTGGGTCCTACCCCGACTAGGGCATGCATCCCGGAGGAGTATATACTTGTTCAGGATATGAGGATATTGGCATTCCCGGAGGAACTGATAGCGCATCCACGGATGGACATTTCCCAAGGGGAATTTACTCCTTGCTTCGTGAGGCACTAGGGATCGAGAGAGATAGGTTATAGTCTTATGCGACCATAGGGATCGACATAAGAAAATGACACGGTTTAAGACATCAACTCAAGAGCCAAGGATGGCACCGTTGAGCGGATGAATAGATGGTCCATGCGTCGCGGGGCACTAGCGCATGGGGAGGGGGGGGGGAGTCACTACTTGAGTGAAATTGGTGCGAAGTAGGGTGTTTCCTCGAGGGCTTTACCTCGACTCCCTTACTGCCTGGACAGTGTTCGCGTTGTGCCTACACGGAAGTTTCTGGGTTTTAAAAATGTGCTTGTAACGTACCTTAGAGGGAAGAGGTGGGTGAAGTTTTCAGGAAGAGAAAGCCTGCAAGTAGGCGACCTCAGTTCCTGTGGTGCCTGAGTGGCAAGCATATCTTCGAGAGGAGCACGCTGTTTTATTGCACAACCCACTGGGGCAACTGGCGAGGAAGACCCAGAGGTCTGTAAGTCAAGAGTATCTGATTTCAGGAGGAGTAGTGTCCTGGAGGACAAGCAAGTCCACGTGTAGCATGATTAGAACACCGTGCTGTCCCTGGAGGGAGCTGACACGGAAAGGGCCATGGGGGCTGCTGGACCGGAGTCCTGGAGGAATAGTGTCCGAAATGCGAGAAAGTCCACATGGGAGCATGTTGGAAGAAATTTATAAAAGAGAACGCATGTTGCAGAAAAGATGCCCCGTGAGGCTATAAATACATACAAAGGGCGAAATGAGCGTAGATATGCCAACGTGCGAACAAAAGATCACACAATTAGGCAAGCAAGAAATCACATAATCATGCAAGTAAAAAATCACATAATCATGCAAGCAGAAAATCACACAATCATGCAAGCAGGAAATCACGCAATCATGCAAGCAGAAATCACATAATTATGCAAGCAGGAAATCACACAATCATGCAAGCAGGAAATCACTCAATCATGCAAGCAGGAAATCGCATAATTATGCAAGCAGGAAACCACATAATCATGGAAGCAGAAAATCACACAATCATGCAAGCAGAAAATCACATAATCATACAAGCATGAAACCGCGTAATTATGCAAGCAGAAATCACATAATTATGCAAGCAGGAAATCACACAATCATGCAAGCAGGAAATCACTCAATCATGCAAGCAGGAAATCGCATAATTATGCAAGCAGGAAACCACATAATCATGGAAGCAGAAAATCACACAATCATGCAAGCAGAAAATCACATAATCATACAAGCATGAAACCGCGTAATTATGCAAGCAGAAAATCACTCAATCATGGAAGCAGAAAATCACATAATCGCGCAAGCAGGAAACCACACAATCATGCAAGCAGAAAATCACATAATTATGCAAGCAGGAAACCACATAATCATGCAAGAAAGAAATCACTCAATCATGCAAGCAGACATTATGAGAAATGATAGATTTGAGAGAAGGAGAAGATGGAAGAAACCCTAGATTGGGGCCCAGAAAAGGGGAATTTCAAAGAAAAACTCAACCGAAGAAGGTTCGATTCGAAATTCAAGTATCAATAAATCAGATGGGAAGATCAGACAAGCAGAATAAGAATGAAGAAGACGAAATGATTACCTTATTTATTGGCCCAATTGCACGAATAAAAAAAATAAAGGAAATCTGAACAGTCTCCCCTTAAGACACGTGTGGATGCCATCAATCCTGTGAATAGCAGAAACCTTTTGGTTTCCCGCCAGCAAAAACCCTAATTGAACTTGGCCTGCGGAATAAAAGAAATTAATCAAAGTCAGCCTATTAACAGAGTTTAATGAGCACTGCATTCTAACTTATCTTGCCGATATGTGGCGTGTGTTTGATTGATGATCAAATGACTTCTCGCATGACGAGCTTAAATTAATATCTCAAAACCATAACCTCTTTACTCATGAAGTTTGCCGACGAACTGGGGGGGGGGGGGGGGGTGGGTGGGTGGGTGGGTGGGTATTGTAGATGGGAGAAATCACACATTCTAGAAAGGCTATTCTACATTAATTTAAGCCCACAAGAAGCAGGAGTGGTTATCTGAAACAGCCTCGCCAGATTAAAAAGGAAAATATTTGGGTAAAAGAAACTTTCTAAATCTAAGGAAAATGAGATTTTCCAATCGAGAGAAGGAAATGAGCTCGATGGAACTGGCCTCCTATCAATATAAATAGAGGAGGGATCATAGTTGGGAAAACAATCCAAAAAATCCAGAGAAAGAGCAGCAAGAGAAGACCTAAAATACTAAGAGCTTTCTATATGAGCTTTTATTTTTACCTCGGTTGAACATTCATGTTCACGCCTCTTGTTGTAATCTTAATACCCAAAGGTAATAAAGAACTTATTTTCTAAATCCCTAAATCGTTATTTACGTATTCGATTGAGTGGATTTCTGGTTCAAAAAATAATTTTTTGATTCTTGTTGTTTTGCTACTTATCTCATATTATTAAAAAAGCCTTGTTGCACATCTGAATTTCATATATTTGTAGTTTT